AGATGCTTTCGTAAATGCTTGCGATTTTGTTTTGGTTTTCATCCATAAACATACCTTCCGGCACTCTATTTTACCATTTTTACCATGACAAAAATTGAGACATTATAAACCTATGAAAAAGGCCTAATTAAAGGCCTAATTGAGCCCGTTCAATAATAACAGGCTACTGTCCAACCCCCCGGCACAACCTTAAAGATTATTCAGCATTTCGATAAGGAAATGGCAAAATTAGGACTAACAAAAAAATAAAGTTAATAAAACTTGCAAGATATCACAAATATATATTTTGAACAATATTTTACAAACAAATACTAGGAAAAAATATTTTCTCTGATTATCGTAAATTACATAACTTATGTGAAGGTATTTATTTAGCTCGTTGTCACACAATCAATGTTCTTATATTATAGCAATTTGATTCTGGCATCTTTTTCATAATATGCACTAATCAAAATATTGAATATAATTTTGCTTCGGATAAATCATATCAAGGAATGGATATCGCCTTTTAAGTATTAGAATATGTAAAAACAAATTGAAGATACGTTACATACAAATAGTGATTAAGCGTTTCAATAGCCAGGATCTTCCTGATTTACTTAAGTTAGATCACTTTTGATTAAAGATATGAATAAGAGGTCCCACATTTTTGGGTTTCTATATCTAAAATATATTGCCACTTACGAAATGCATAATATTAAGTTTTAATAAAGACCCCGTTTACTCGTGAGATCCATTCACAATGATATTTGTCTTTTCGTGCTTCGCTTACTTTGATAGGGTAACTTGGCCGCTTCCCTGCAAAGTGAATATATTTATTTTAGAATGAAGAAGTCATAGCCTAACACAAATTGCATTGTTAAAGAAAAAATGTAGTGTTGTGTTTCGGTTAAAATGGAGAATTCAGCAGCAGGGAGAAAAAATCCATGAATATTTGATAACACTACAGAATCACTACATTATGATTTCCCGATAATGTCAATTACGGAAATCATTAATCTTGAAAGTGGACCGTTTCGTTGTATTAAAACTCACATGAGATGTGATCTTATGCAATCAAAAAATAGAATTATTTATTTAAAATTATGAAATTGTTCGGTTTCAAGAATTATGTTTTGTGTTTTGTATAAGCTTACAAGGTCAGTCGTAATTCTATTCGGAACTATAACGTTTTGTGATATAAATTCTGGAAAATATCATAAAGCTGTTGGCCTTTCTCTTAATGCAATGATTTCTTAACGATAAATTATATAAGAAAAATCTGATCTCAAAAGTTCTATTATTGCTTAGAATTTAACGGTAAAATATATTGATTCGCGAAGGAAACAATTTCTTTGATAAAATGACATATCGATAAAAAAGTTAAAGGATATATTTTCTGAAGAAATAAATTAAAAACAAGTTTTGTGGAAGCTCATGCAATTTAATAATTTCCGAGGTTAGTCGACGACTTATTCTAGCTCACATAAGTTCTCCCTTATTACGAGTTTTTTTGAAAAACAAAAAAGAAAATAATCAATGTTTTCAGATATTCTGGGACAAAAAGTATGTCCTAGTTAGTGTGTTGGCATATTCTTGCATTTAATTTAAATTAAAATACAGCAATTATTAAGATCTCAGTAAATACGCTTTGAAGCTTGAATCTTGATTCTGTACAACTATCACATATTGGCCGTAGGATATAAATATGCCTTATTGCTTAGTTTTATCTTTAAAAAACACTTTGGACACATCTGTTTGTTATGATATTTACTGTTCAAATTAAGGTTACAGCAGTGTTTGATTGATTAGGAAATGCAAAAAATCGTTCTACCTGAGGCTTAACTTTAAATTTACCTTTCTAATACCTTAACATCACGTATTTAAAAACACTAATCAGCTGCTATTTGTGGATATAATAAAATCATGTCAGAACTTCTCAAATACCATTAAATCAAAACGAATTGTCAAATACTCTCGTGAAGGATGTGGGCATTGTTTGTAAGTAGAGATATCCTTGTAACATTATTCTAGCTTTATGAGCAAAATGTATTAAAAGAAATGTCAATTAAGAAAAGAGAGCAGTCCACAACAGAACCAAAAACAACGGACAAGACACCAACCAGGGCACAAAATAAAGTATTGTTTTCATGTATTGAGTTATAATCCGATCTAGCTACCTTACGAAACGTCGTTGAGTTTACTCAATTCTCCATTCGTGTCTGAAAAACGGAGGGGTATTAGAGGTCTTCCTCCACCAGTAAAGCTAGAAAATCGCTACATGATATCTACTGTGATGGTGCAACATAAAACCTAACCCCAAACAAACGAACAAAAAACATTTACAGTTCGGAAAAATCCTTAATGCATTATATCATATGCTGAATAGTGTGGTATGGATATACAATAAGTTAACATTGTACGTACATTATTTCTTCTCATATGATAAAATGAAAAGAAAATTTTTGAAAAACCGTTTTACTTATATAAATATATCCTATGCAGACACTGATGCTTAAAATGGTGTATCCTTTCTTTCAACTGACAAGTTGTGGGAACATGCATCGACTGGACTATTTAAAGTTACTTCCTAATTTTGTACGATTTCAATCATTCGCTTTTAAAGTTGATTATAGAAATGTAGTGAGGTCATGACAGTCATATCGATTTTGTATTTATAATTTACTTTCTTAATACTAATCTTTGCTTATCGTTATGTTCAACTGTAATGATGTATTTTTTCTATGTCGTTAAAGTTTGTGTCTAAATATTCTGCTGTGAGAGTAGTTCAAATATTATTATGCGTGTTTTTGCGTCATAAAATTGAAATATCGCATGATCAAATTAGGGGAAGGAAAAATAGTAAAATATGGTAAAATGTGTTTTGATTTCAATTTTGATGCATCCTAATACATTTTATATTTTAAACATATAACTATCCCCAGAATGATTTCGTTCGGATGGTCTTAATATGTGGATGAGAAAAGTTAATTAGAGATATCTTTAGCACAATTGTAAATTTAAATGTATTTCCTTTGCGACTAAACGTTAACATTGGCATTCAATTCTGACTGTTCTTTCATAATTTGATAGAATACAGTTCACGGTCCCTAACAAAACTTTCATGTTGACTTTTTTATTTAGTTTGAAGAATTTTATATCTATCCTTTCATACCTTTGAACAGTTTTATCTAAACAATTTTGTATGGAGTTTCACACGCGCTACACACAATTATATCAAACGATTCACTGCATGATCATACATTGACGGACCAGTAGCTAATTGTTGAATAAATTATAATTGATTTAACATAATTGTTAGTTTCGTAAGGTATATTTTGTGATGTCTCAGGAGGAATAAGTTAACAATTTATTACTTACAAGAATCAATCACAATTTGTTTTCTCTTAAAGAGTAAAATATCATTATTCCTTCGAACGAAATCGATTGGGAGCAAGATGTTATAATTTATTAAGTAATCTAGAAATGCAACTCCTGTTGTGTCGGACTGTGGTATATTGATTTATTGTCTAGTAAAGATTGGTTTTCCTATCCAAAGACTATTATCACACTTAAGTGCAATATTGTTTTGTAATTTGTTTCCTTGACTTTTGACTCCAGACGAACTACATTGATCACGACGGTTTCGCAATATTACTTTAGAAACTGAATGCACTGAAATAAGACAACCCGTCATCGAATGATGTTTGAAAAGTACCACAGACGAATTTTGCTACTTCTTAGCCTTTAAATTAAAATTTTGTTTAGTGCAAAACAAAATTGAAAACAGACAAATAACATTTGCCGACAATACACATATGGTAGATGTACTGGTGTTTTTAAATGCAATATATGAAAGAAAGGAGATAGAATGGAGCTATTCCAAACGAATAAAACTTTTCTTTGTTGGAACATTTGATCGCTCTAAATAGCTCATTATGAAACGAATTCATTGCTCACACGCTGTACTCTTCTAGACACGGTTAGAAGAATGTATATAGGTAAGCAGTGTTATAGTTACTTATATACCAACAAAAGTCTGTTAAATATTTTAAGATATACACAGAATCATCGTTCCAAACGAATACCCTAAATATGACTGGTTTGCGTGAATACGTATATATTGTTATAATTGTGGACAGGTAAAATGAACAAAAACTATGTCATAAGATAAAAATGTCTTACACGACAAAAATAATATAAGGAATTCAAAATATTGATAATATGTGAGCATTTGACATGGGAACTGTGAAGAGATGGAGTTATTGTTCAGTTGCGCGCTCTTTTAAGATGTTATCATTGTGAAAATGACCTTGGCCCCGTGATATACGAATCACGAATATACAAATCAATTAAGTTGCCTAAATTTGTAATAACAATTAATTTGTTACAGAAGAACAACTTAATCATATGGGGAGAAATAACAATTTTAAGTAAGGTAACGATTATGCTCTTACCAAAAAATGGCACTTCGTCAAGTGATTTCAGTAACAGGTTAATTCCTTTTAAATTGTAGCAGGAGTTAACCCGTTACTACAATAAAACAGAGAAAAAAGAATCCCTAAATAAAGCCCAAAAAGGCAAAATAGAAATATTGCAGACTCGGTTTGATTGAGTCTGTTCTTGGACTGTACTGTCAAGTGCAAACTACCGACCACAGTATTTGTATCAATAAAATGACGACAAGTAATGCTTATTAAACTTATTAGCATATAATGTGTCATTGTCAGATTAATAATATATCAAACATCAAAAAGTTTTATAAATAGCCCTTCTTCATCAAGTAAGATTCTTGTTGAAATCCCTGATTATAATTATAAAAGTACAACAAATATAGTTTGACACGATAGGAACGGTAACAATTTTAAGAAGAATTTATTCATTTGTTTACTTATTTGAATGTGTTATTACGATTTTTTGGTGTCTTGCTGGGCTCCTTACCGTTGGTCATGTGTTGGGGATTCTCCCTACCTTGTTGTTTTTGTTTTGTACATTTTGAAGTCAGAAACAACAAATTAATGTTTCAATTTCAAAAATGTTTTAATGCCCATGAAAGCACAAATGTAATTTAAAACAAGCAGATAAAAAGAATAGCAGTTTTAGAAATATTTTATAATAAATAAGAAATCGTTGATTTCCATAAGGAACAGAACAATTTATTCAAAATGTTGTCTGAATGAAGATACACAAAATATATGTAGACTTAATAATAGGCCAATCATGTTTTCAGAATTAATGAATCATTTGTATGTACTATTTTATAATTTGACAATTAATTCAAGGTACAACTTGATAAATTTAAATATAAAGTTACAATATATAAAACCAATTAAGTTGTTTTCGTGAATCGACATTAATGTTGAAAATGTACAACAATCATGCTGTCGTCGTTTAAATTTCAATTTGTCATGTAACAGCTTTGTAATGCACAACATGTTGTGAAAACAATATTTTCACATTTTAAATGTTTAACATGTCGAATAACGTTTATTATTGTTTTATTTTTCATTTTATTGTCGAATATTGAATACTATTTAAGCCAGCGTGAGTGGACATTGAAAATCGTTCCTTTCTAAATCATCTCTTATGAACAAAATACTTCAATCGGGTCCTGTATCTTCCACTATATGTTAATGTTCTACCCTTTTCAATTGTGATATAGTATCGTCCAACGTTTATAATTAGTAGTGTCATGAATCATTTTAGGCTTTCTTTATAGAGATAGACATAATGGTGACCAATGTAAATGTTAAAAAAATAATTGATTAAAATGTAATATCCTTGTTTTCTTATACCTTTTTAAGGAATTGAATTGTATAAAACAATATGTTCTTGAATGGGATATGATAAAAAAAAACGTTCTGAAAGACTCATTAAAACTCATAAAGTTTATTATACACAGTTAAATTAATTTTTATGTCTGTTGGTGCATAAACTATGTAATGACGTCGGCACGTTATTTCCATTGTACTTCCAGATATCTATAAAAGCACATTTGTATGTCTTGCTTAAGGGAAACATTATTTCTTGTTATGATGATTTAACTGTATACCGCAGTAAATACCAATGTCTCTGTCTATGGCTTTTGAGCACTTTAAATAATAAGAAACATGATATATTCATATGATTTTACAATCCTTGTTGGCTGGAGGAAATAAAGTTTAAGGACTGATATTAAATAAATGTCTATATGGCAAGATTACACAACAGATTCCCTGCTTGTCCCTTGTTTACTTAGTCTTTCAGCATCCAAATACTCCCATTCTGCTCTGTTTAACAGCACTCCATTTAGCATTGGCTTAAACGATTTGTCAAATTTCGCCAAACTCTGAAATGAAAGTGTGACAAATTACAATAGCATAGATATCTTAATATTATAGCATTAAATGTATTATAAGTAAGTAATTACAGTAACAATATATATTTTAATTAAAGAGGCATTATCTTTAGTTTTGTCATTGTCAAGTTGAGCTGCACTAACTGTGTATACAAAAGACTGACTGTTTAAACAGTTGCTGTTGAAACATGTTTTGGATAAAATATGAACTTGTCAAAAATATAAAATGGCTGCCTCACTCTATTAATAAAATGAACATAAATTCCGATGGATTTTTACAAAAATGTACTAAGGCCATGTGAGTTATTTTAAGTTTATGCGAAGTTAATAATAAAATTGAAAGAAACTATGGAAAAGTTTAGATAGGTCAACAAGTAATAATGTTTTGGAATAGCTTTAATACAGTATTAACTTTTTTATTGTATTGATCACACGCCCTGAGTAAAAACTATTGATTTTTACAAGGTATAAATTAGTTTATATTCAGATGCTTAGCTAAAACAGCAATCAACATTTTATCATACATACTTCATACAGAGGTCTGCATATTCCATCGATCCATCCAAGCTGAAGGGCTGGAAGTTGATCTTGTTTTTCTCTATCCATATGAGCCTAAAATATATGCTTTTGACCTCAAAATTTTGTTAAAAACTAATACATATAAATTTCAGCATCAAGCTTTTTTTTTATTATCGTATTAAAAAAGCTGCGCTTTTATTTTGATTATTTTCCTAGTTGTTAATTTCATTTTCATGTCTTTTGTAATAAAGTGTAACCTGGTTTATCGCATAACAAAAGGAGTTTAAAACAAAATCTTAAATTTCAATGCATTTATCTTTTAACTACATGTATTCTTAAACGAAAATGAAAAGAGTGTAAAAATCTCTGGGTGACATGACATGACAACAGGACCATTTATCTTTTTTATGCTGTTTTCATCAGTTCTGTTATAGTGTAATTGTTACGTTGCTAACAAGGCCAAAAGGTAACATACTTGTGGCTGAATTTTTAACTCTGATTTTTCTTTATCTCCTTGGTCAAAGAACTCTGTCATCACCAGATCAGCAACCTAAAATACGTCAGTATAATAATGGTTAGTAATACGACAATTTGTTTCACAACAGATATCAATTGGCATATCAAAATTGATTGTATATAGTGCAAGAACATTAAAATTAGTTATTGCTTGGTTGGTTGATTGTTTACGCCTTATATTTAACTCCTCCTTAATGTATATACAAATTCGTTCGCAATTGGCCACAGAGTCAAATGACCATTACAAGCAATGTCCAAGATCGATAAAGTTACGTAGATAAAAAGATTCGCCCGAGGATAGAACCTGCAACAGCTTGATTACAAATCCCATGCACTCTTCAATGGACTAAGCGACGTAACGTATCAAATTGAGACTTATGTTGTATACCTTAAAACACGATATGATATATATGAGATAACATGCATGTCATTATTCATTTCATAATGTATACGATACAATATCATATATATATTAACTTTATGGACTTGCATAATATTATGCACAACAAACTGTATTACGAACAAATTCGTCAATGTCTTCGTCAGTATACCATGTAATCAACCAAAACTCACAAGGAATCTACACTTTGTTTTGCTTACGGTTTAAAATTATAAAAATCTAGAAATTATTGCAAGTATGTACTTTTCTCGAATGTAATTGTGAAATGTTTGTTTCCAGTAAACCCTCAGGACGAAAGTCAAAACAACATTATCTAATTCACTATTAACTAGAGCGATAAAAAGCACACGAGTAATACATGCATGATTTTCCCTTATGTTATTTTCCGTCTGTATCATTATTTAAGAAATAACAAACGATACGGATGTATGTCTTCCCTCGGATAAATAACCATCTCATGTAAACAATTCAAAAGATCACGTGCATGTTTATAATAAAAGCTGCTAAAAATTAAAGATACAGTAATTACCTTTCTAGACACGTCCCACGGTTTAGTAATTGCTCCAATATCGCATGTTGTCATAAGGATACTACGGAAAATTTCTCTTAGGTCCTTATCATCCCAGTCTATACGTCCTTCGTCAACCATTGCAAACCATTTTTCCCGTACTCTGTATTAACATTAAACAAATAGTTTAACGGTTGGCGGCAATTTGTCTTTCATATAGTTTCTTCTATTTAAATTTGAATTTCCATGGTTTAAACGTGGTAAATATAAATATATTCACATTTACGTTCTTATCTTTTATATAAGTGAATGAAAATTTGCATTTGATTAAGATATCATTGATATGGATTGTTCAAATCTATTCCATTGACATTATTTAAGAAAGGTTATTTAAATTGTCGAGACAAGTATAACAGGTTCAGCAACATTATCTTATTATTTTATTAACTTGTCAATTTCCAATGACGCTCAGAGACTTTTGTTTTCTATAACAATAAGCAATTTTGTGACATTATGATGACAGAGAAGTGCTTTTAGGAAAATTCATGCGTTTTGTGATTTATTTTTAATAACATCTTGTTTTTGCTATCTAGTAATGCATAGTTATTAAAAGGAAATATTTATTGAATACACAAGCGAAACTAAATGATTGAAAGAAAGTTTATGCATATAATGGGTATTGCATACTGTTTTTCTTTCATTTAAGTGGTAAAGTAAATTAAGCTTCATAACTAGCATACATTTATTCGGAAATAATAAAAGAAAACTTCATCTTACTGTATATGTAATGATAGATCTGTAGCTAAAATTGCATGTTTCAAGATGTTTATCACTTTTGAATACTCATCGGACGATAAGTTGCTAAAAATGTTGGTACTCTGTAAAGATATAAAGTACGTGTGTGAAGAGATAAAGTTTGTATAAAAAGCATGTATATTGTGAAGATATGAAGTAAGTATATGAAAATTTAAAGTAAGTATTAAGGATTACTTAGTACGTTTATAAAAATATGCAGTACGTATGTAAAGATATAGAGTACGTACGTGAAGATATAAAGTACAGCGTACAAATGATGACAACAATGTGTATGATACGTAAAAATAGGTCATACCGTAAAGATACAAAGAACATATGTAAGATAAAACGTACGTATGTAAATATATAAAGTACGAATGTAAAGACATAAAGTATGTATATGAAGATGTAAAGTACGTATATTATGATATAAAATACGTATGTAAAGATTTAAAGTACGTATGCATGTTGACAACAACGTGTATGATACGTAAAACATGGGTCATACCGTAATGTAATCAAATTGGAAAATATAAATCATATCATTACATCAATAACGACAACGATGCGTACATGTAAGTAAATGAACACTTAATGAATTACAGTACTCCTTAAGGTTTTACTTGTAAATAACTAATTATGTGTTAAATGAGTTCGTTTTATTTATACCATCTTTTACAGTAATATAATATGATAAAGTGTGTCTTAGTCATAAGTAATCGTATCGAACACTTATTTCCTATTATAGGTATATGCGCTTCAGTATCAATGTAATATAGTAAATTACTTGTCAAAACATAAGAGTACTACCAGTTTATGACGGGTAATGAAATATCGTGACATATGTTTCAGTTCTTATTGTTGCTTTAAAACTAACATGCTATTTTATTATCTTAAACATACCTCTGTATTTAGAATCATGATAGCATGGTTGAAATGATGATGTTCCAGCGTTGTTTTTGTACCATAAAGTAGCGCTAATGCTGAGCTAGTCCTGTAAGCAGTGTTATAAAAATGCTATATCAGTACCAAATGTTACGAGAAAGAAAGGTTAATCATTTACCCGTGACATAATTAAAACTTATTGTTCGTTTGTTTGTTCGATCGGGTTTTATGTCACGACGACACAGTATAAATTATATGGAGACGGTTCAGCTTTAGTGGTGCATAATTTGAGGCACGAACTATCACCTGAGTACAACCACCCACCGACGTTCCATAAGCTAGCTGGATAGCTTTCTCACATGAAATAATCCAATGTCAAAACAATTATTATAAGCAACAGTATAAGAAAAAAATGTTGTTTTTTTCCAATTTGTTTTACATGTATTTCATTATTTCTTCTTAATTGAGGCAAATCATGTAAGTGAAAGTTATTAATTTTCAAAAGGAGACGAAGATTCGTGAATACTATACATTTGTACATACTTTTCTTGAAATGCGTTGTTAGTACCTCTATGATCAAGATCGTGACAAAGACAGCCGACAATAAGCGCCAGGCATTCTAGTTTGCTTAGCAGGCGACGAAGATTGCATTTCTGAATAAGTCAATTTTGTCAGGTGTCGCTAAATCTTTCGGTAAATTTACTTCCCGTTTTTCCTTAGCATATTTAACATTATATAATAACAAAATGATATTTTATTTTGTTTCATAGTATAATTACTTTTAAGATACCATAAATCTGAAATCTGTTTAAAAATAATTTAAAGACTTAATGGATCTAACATGACAATTAATATATAATTTTGTTTGTTTCAAATACACCGTAGCCTATCTTTTAATATAATAAGTACATTAACATAATACTACAAAACAAGAATATACCCTTTGGATTATTAAATAAAACAGATTTACATTACACGTAGACAAGTATTACCTATAGAATATGCATCGAACTGAAAATGTGATTATAGATTTCAAGAAAAACGTACTTACCAGTAAAGCAGAAAACATTAGCTGACATACGTTGAAGGCGTGTCTCCAGTTATGATAAGCAACATTTCTATAATTTTTCTTTACAGTCAACAGAAATTTGCATAAGGTCTGAAAAGGGAAATAAGTTTTTTTAGGTCCTATTGCTTTAACTTATTCCTTGTCTATCAAAACAATACAAATTATACAGCAATACATTAATACGCTGACGTTGAACAGAAAAGTTTGAAAAACGTAACAAGAACAGGGTGGCAATTTGAGACGGTATAACATAATATGTTAATTCGTTCAAACCCTTCAAACAAAGTCATTGAGATCTAACTTACTTCAAAATCTATTCTACATGACTTTGCTAGTCCGAGATCTTTAAATATCCTTAATCCTGCCATGACCATTTCGTCATTGTTCAGCGAGAAGTCATTAAATGTGAGCTCATTCAAACGCCATTCTGGTGCTGGTGGTACATGTTTATTCTGAAACAAAGCAAGAAAATATCAATACTAATAAAATAAACGTTCAATTAATTATGTATCCCTAATAAATATGATAATATTAACTATCAATAAGTACAAAGGTTTTGTAGAAGGCGGGTGAGTGCTGTGAAACATAAAAAACAATAAAAGCAAGAAAGTATTAGCAGTTACATATGTGTTATCATTAATATATTAATTTGAATATACAATAAAAGATATAATTTAATGAGATGAAATACATAATGTTCTATTTAATTACAAAATATTACATAGTTGTAGAACTTCTTAGCATGTATTAAAATAATATATAAGGCTATTGATAAAAGCGTGTCATTGTATTTAAATGTCGATTAAAAACCGATTTGTAAACAACCATCCAAAATTAATAATTATTCACTTTCATTTATAAAATATGCATGCGAAGCTGTGTATACCTTGATTTTTTCAACTTCCACATTTTCTATACCAGCATGATAAGAAAGTACCTAAAGCATGTGTACACAAAATAATAGTTATATTAGTTTTTCACCAAGATTAAGGATATAAACTGCGCATTAAAAACTCATTAACATCATAATAATATGCAAAATTCATATAGAATTATATTATATGTCTGATATGCGTTTTGGAAAAGAACACAACAAACTATAATAGCTATTTTATGGCTATCTTAATGTTTTAGGACATGAGTGCATATATTATATCAATACGTTGATATAACTTTTAGTGTAGTTGTGTTGAATTTTGTTTAATATGATATAGATACTTTGAGATGGTTAGAATATTTGATAATCAGTAAGAAATAGAGGTTTTTAGTACACGGATTGCGTATTTTTTTCTCTCCAAAAGTTGCATTAATTTAAAAAAAAATCAAATAGTCAAAACTGTTACCTCAAGAGCTACAGTTTGCTTTGCAGAGGATATTGCAACCTCTTCGTAAAGTTGAGCATTGTTTATTCCTAATCCGCAGAAAATCGTGAACGCCTGAAAAGTCATATCAATGTAAATCAAAACATTTTTAATCTGAATTTTACCCTACAGTATATCATCTTTATTGTTACACACATCGTATGCTTCTTCTTAGTTCCACCATAATAACATATTTTCAGAACTAAAATTTATTCACATGAAGATTATTAACATCATGTATTCTATGATAAATAACAGCCTTGTATATTTTGTTAAGCATTTTGCTTTAAAAAAATATAGTTAAAAAAGACAGTGTCGTACAAAGCCGGATCAGCAATTTTTTATTGAACGGTTCCTCTGTCGAATAAATGTCTGTAAACCGATGCTTTGTAACTATAATATAGTTTTTATGCTCTTAATAAATCTCCCATTGTGTCACTAACCACACGAAAATGAGAAAAATGAAAGTTAAAGTTTTGAAATATAACGTTCTTTATAAATATTCTTTAATTTATCTAAAGTAAGAAATTGTGATTTTCCTGCATTATGGAAATATTGAAGTATGACAAAACGTGTTACCTCAAATAGTTGTTCATCATGTTCGTCAAATGGCAATCCATCTATTCTATTTACAATTTCAGCAACACCTATAAATACAATGTGTGTGTGTATGAAAAAGGATAAATGATTAATGTCGTTAAGTATAATATCAATTTCACGTGAGTCATTATATTAAGCAACAAATACGTTCCATATTTTATATCTCCATCTTTATTCATGTATCAGTTTCTATGCTTACCTATGATTTGTCCATATCGATTTCTTATTGGTTTACAAAGAATAGACTTTGTATGATAACCACTTACAACATCTGTCTGCAAAAGAGGAAATGAGAATAAGTGTTTGTTTTTACTTTTTAAAGATTTATCCCTTAGTAACATCCTTATTGATTATCTGCTTTATAGTGCAAGCATTATTTGTATATTCATAAACAGTTAATTTAAGCCTTGATTTTAACACACCTTTGACTTGTCAGTAAGGAAAATGTGTTTATTCTGATATAAAAAAGATACAACAAATAATTTCTACAATATCGTTTTCTGTCATCTAGATGACAAAACGTCATTTCTATTCCATAACAATAGAGGAAAAAGGTTATTTTTACAGCGAAGTTTTAGCAAAACTGAATATCATCGCATGACTATCAAATAGAAAACAGAAACAAACATGCAAAATGTTTCAAAATAGGAAACACAATCTGGATTTTATATATATAATAGGATTTAAACTTCGCATCTCTTTTTTCCTGGTTATTTTAGAAAATAAGATTTGTGAAAAAATAGACACACTTGTTAGAACAATATAAAAATTAACGTTTATTGTTATTGTCACGCGATGAAGTAATAACATATGTTCAAATGTTTATAAGCTTGTAACTTTGAGACGAAATGCCTCCATATTCTTGCTAATTTCGACCAAAAAAAACAGGTTTCATACGACTGAACATACAGTCAAGTGTAAAATTAAACCTTTGCCACTTTATACAGAAATATCTTTTTGTAGGGTCAAAATAAGTTCCCTGCAAGTTACATTTGTATACATGTAACAATGTCGATAACAATATTAATATTTGGCTCATTAACCTGAAATTTGTAACACGCCATATGTAACGTTAATGTATAACATCTTTTAACTATGACAAACATCTTGGTTTACCAATCGTTTGGAATTTTAATCATATTGACATAGGCAGCTATACATGTTTCATTTCAAAATATCCTTACTAAAAATTAAGTATTGTTGCATTTTGTTAATTGCTTTCGCAATCGATCTTTTCTTTAAATATTACTCTTAACCAGTTTTTATTGTCTTAAAAGATCACCCAGATTATCAACCTAGCGACATATTTTCATAAAGACTCCATAGTTTTTGTTACTAAAGAAATTACCTCTCTGTCGAATCTAGGGTCTGAATGAGCATCGGAAATGTTTATAGTTTCTTCTGTTTTCAACACAAGCTCAGCCAGTTTGTTACCTAACTGCAGGTCTGCACAGGGGTCTGAACTATGAATAAGAAAACACTTAGGTTATTAATCAATTAACATTTAACAAATACAAGTATTTAAGTAATATACTACACTCGTTTGAAATAAAACACCTAAACACTCGAACAAAAAAAATTCACAGATTGCTCTGCCAAATATTTGAATTTTGACAACTTCAATTCTTTTGCTGTTGGTGCAAATTCGTTCACATAAATTCCTTAAATATGATATGCGTTATGTTCTTAAAAATGAATAGATAGATGCCTATATGACCCTAACTCGCTTAACCAAATTATCAGAATAGTGCATTACAATAAGACTTTCATCACAACCTATTTGTTGACAAAGAGCACATGCCATTCTTTGTGGTTTCAAATAAAAGAGTTGGGATCTATGATTTATCGTCAAGGTCAAAAATTGCAACGTAATCTTAAACAGATACAGAACATGTGAAGGCAATCTTTTTTAAATCTCAATAAACCATTAGAATACAAAGTATTATTTTCATTTACAAACAGACAAAAATCATTTTAAATAAGTTATTTCACCCTCACCTTACAAGCAAAAGAAAATGTGTAGAATGTTTTATACAATTATGAATACATAGATATTGTACTTGTACAAGTAAAGCATATCATTAATTTGACCATCATGGAACATTATGTTACATATGATTACATATCCATACATCTTTATCAATGCAATAAAAAATAAACATGGGGTCACAAACAAATGCACACACAGATAGAGAGGAACACAAATAACATTCAAACATAAGACAGAAAAGGAACGTTATTTACACACATTTAATAACAAAAAAAACGGATGCGTTTCGTTTCATAAATTGTGGCATCATTGATACACAAGTAAAATTATTGTTACATAAATACATGTACTTGAATAAAAAAATTACCTTGAAATTCCAATAAATATAAAACACAAAATTATTATGATCAAAATATTCTAAGATTAATCATAAATCAAAAGTTGATATTAATAACATTATTCCAAACAACGAACAACTTTGTGTTTAAACATTAATACATTAAACGTTTATATAATTATAAGAAAAATTTGTAATCTGGCTTAAGAAATAGTTTTAATACTTTTAACACTTCTCATACTTTTACCGTTACATTTCCTCTATTTAATATTTTTGTTTATTAACGCAACATTGAACGGAAATTGACAATACATTTATTGTTCCAACTTTTTAGAAGACCATACTTTCTGTAGTTTATAGATATATATCATACTCGCTAAGAGGTTTGACACATAATCATATAATTATGTAAATTGTATCAATCTGTTTCAAGAATATATGATATTTGAATATTATATCTAATCATATTATGTATTAAGTATAATATGGCACTGAATATGCTCTAAATAATGTAAAACTTACAATAGATTTTTTTCTGCATTTTAGCAACACATGTCAAACGAATCAATGACTAGCTAAAACAACAAGAGCATACCTTGTATATGTACAACAGGGGGCGCTGTGAGATCGGTTTCGTGGGGATACAGTCTCCACTTTACCTCTGGAAAATTGCTGTCGTCGTCTTAAAACAAAAATCATCTCGCATTGCAAATGTGCTTCGACAATGAAACGGCCTTAATAAATGACAATTTGCTCTGGGAATACCGCTGGTGATTGTCCAAATTTTATTAAACTTATACACTTATACAATCAATCCCGACCTTTTTTGTATTAACAGTATCATTAATCATTGCATTTGACAACGTTTCTAAAATTGGTTTGAGTAAATTAATGATTTCACTTTTTTCTTTGTCCCGTTTCCAGGATTTCTTTTAATAATAAAACTTTTGCAGAAACATATTCGTACATTTATCTAATATCTAAGGACACTTAAATTTTTCAACGCTGAAAGTAATATTTTTTACATATATTAAACTCGTTCTGAACTGATCTAAAACAAATTTTCTTGTTTCAGCGACAACCAAACTATTATGATATGTTGTTGTAAAACAAAAAATGGAAAATTGTCTACTACAACTGGATGTAAAATGTACCAAAAAACTCAGTGCCCATGCAAAACATGTTTAAATAAAACAGGATTTTGTTATTATATACCGCATTATTTCACATAAGAAACTGATAATTCAATACTTACAGTTTTCAGGCAATAAAACATTTGTGTGTAGCTTTTGTACAATGATAAAAATGTCAAAAGCTTACACAGGTACTAAGTTTCAACTATTTGGGAATATATCATCAAATTTAAATTCAAATAAAGGAAACAAATGATTTAATTTCTTAAAAAAATGTATGAGAAAAAGAAAGTGCATCTTGCATTTACGCAATTAATTGACACATATCTAGTATATGCAATGCATCGACAAAATAGAATAAAAAAGACACTATGTATGCAGTAGGAAAAACTAGTTTTAATATATAATAATGATACAAGAAAAAAAGATGTATGTATTCAACTATATTGAAAAAAATTCTTAAGTGTTGTAAACGTGTAAAAACAAACAACCGATATCAATGTCTTAATAACTATTATAAGATTCAAATGAAGAAATATGACTCCTGCTGATAATCATCATTGTGTGTGAGAGATGTTAAACATTCAATTATTTGACATGCGGGAGAACTACAACCTGGCATGAGATCAATTTTCAGAAAAGAGAGATGTTGTATTTATGGACATATGAAATATCATTTCTCATGGGAAAATGTTATTAAATGGTTCTAAACACGTTTTCTTATTGTTTGCTACAGTACTCAAGTTATTCAAAAAGGTATGATTTAATAAGACTTTATGAGCCTTAATCTATTTGAAAATATTGTAACAGTCTCAAAAATAAAGAAAGAAAAACATCTAAATGACTAACGGGTGCTCTTTGTCGGTTATATTACATTCATTAAGGTACATAAAAAGTACATTTGTGAATGCAATATTTTAATTCTGTTTGGATTTCCTCGGAAAAATTGTTTGAAGCTGTACCAATAGTTACAATGAAATATATTTCCTTTGATTTACTTATTATAATATAATAATCAATGCTTATTCTGAAGTGTTGTTGGAAGCGTGCTTTTAACAATTGCAAGAGAAACATAGTGAACATCGTCCGTATACTTTAACAAACACAAGCACAAATTCAAACAGGACAGTGCAATCAATTGACCTGCGAACAAAGTTGTATCATTTTGTAAGAATATCAGATGAAGAAGTAATTTGTAAAAAGACCACTAAAGCTAAGCACAAATTATCAAGTGTTCATAAAAAACTTACGGATCAGCATCCAACCTATTTGATTGAGCAAAATGATTCTATGTTTACATAAGAACATATTATAAAAACAGAAACTGCTTATTGCTTTCATTGACATAAATCAGAAGGCTTTTATGAAAATGATTATTCCTTAAGACATCGTTGTTTTTTTTTCATTGTATTTTAAAATTTTAAAATGATAAATACGGTATAGTTAGTACATGAATGATAAACATGATTTTGTTACATTTAATTTGTGTTAAAAACTAGAAATGAAATGTTCCTGAAAAATCCTTAGTATCAAAAAATTTTTTTTTTACAATTGATGGTAAATAAATCATATTCATCATATCATATTTTTCCAATTGTACGTTATTTGAAAGATATAGGTACTAGAAGAAATAATCACATTTATCTTTGAAATTATATTCTAAAGAGTTATGATAGTACACTAGGATGGATAAACCCATGCTCACAATGCAAACTTTATAAATAACTTAAATTCATGCGTATTGAACACATTATGTTCTTCGTGGACTCACCTTATCGCAGAATGACAGCTGGTCCCATTTGTTAAAGGATATGCAAGGTCAAACACTTTGCTGAATGGTTTCTTAAAATGAAAAATATACCGGATCATAACGTACAATGAACGACAAATTAACACATTGCACTATAATGACATGACAGCGCATTTTACTAGTAATTGTCAAACGTTTATTGTAGATGAGTTGTCAAAATAATAACGTTGGATTTAATTTTGCTTACATATAACAAATGAACATAGTTTAAGTTTTAACATTTTTTTTCATAATCATTATCAAAATTAAACAAACACACAATATTTGATGAGAGCTTCTCTGTATTAAAATTATTATGGGTATCAAGTACTGCGATTTTGTGATCATCAAATTAACTAACCTCTGAGTTAGAGTCCTTCAATAAAACAGAGCAGCGTTCACACTTGAGAAGAGTCTGTGCTCTTTGCATTATCTTTAGTATGACGTCATCCAACGATGTTTGTTCTTCGAACAGATCATGTACAACCTCCAAAAGACACTGTAATAATAATTTGAAATTTAAAAAAAATGCAAGCAAACACTAATGTACCTTGTGTTATTGTGATTTGATTAAGTATAATAGTCCATGTGTTTTTCGAAAATAAAAACTACGCTTATTCCAATGTCCAATGCCATTGAAACATTTAAAAACATATTTACTGTGACGTTTATTCAGCTGGTTTTTGATCGCGAACAAATTCAAGTTTTAATAATCCAATAAATGGTAATTGTGCTAAAATGTTTATTTAGAGCAATTTACAACAAGTTGGTGGTTATTTTAATCTTAAACAAGAGGGCAAAGAAGACCCTAGATCGCTAACCTGACCCATCAAACTCATCCGAACAATTACCTAGACAAGCATTCTGACCAAGTTTCATGACAGGTAAGTCAAAAATGTGACCACTAAAGTGTTAACAAGGATGATCCATATTTGGGCGGTGTGACCTAGATTTTGACCCCAGGTGACCCATATTTAAACTTGACCTAGAAATCATCAAAAGAAACTTTCAGACCAATTAACAGGATACTTGAATCAAAACAGTAGCCACTAGAGTGTTTACAAGATTTTTCTATTTTTAACTCCTGTGACCTAGTTTTTCATCCGAGTTGACCCATGTTCAAACTCATCCGAGCAATTACCTAGACAAGCATCCTGGCCAAGGTTAATGGCAATTGAGTCAAAAATGTGACCGCTAGAGTGTTAACAAAGTTTTTTTCTATTTTTAGGTCCAGTGACCTAGTTTTTCATCTGAGATAACCCATGTTCGAACTTATCCGAGCTAATACCTAGATAAGCATCCTGACAAAATTTGATGATGATTAAGGCAAAAATGTGACCGCTAGAGTGTTAACGAACAAGTGTGGACGGACGACGGACGACAGACGACGGACGAAGGATATTCAACGATCCTAAAAGATCACTCTGAGTTAGCTCAGGTGATCTTAAAATTGAAAACGTTTCGTTACATTAACAATTGCTTACTTTAAATTGTACTTAAATCGATATTGCATTTAGCAACATGTTAGATAAACAAATGAAAATTTGATGGTAAAGATTAATTCGCTTAATAGTGGTCACAATGTTTCAGATTTTCAGGAAAACGAATAGTATATTGTATTATTTTCTGACCTACTAAAACCAATCATTTTACACCTAAATGTAGACAGTAAAAAATAATACTAGAAATCAACTGCAAATTCTTAAAAGTGCCTTTAATATACCAATTTCTCAGTTGAACAGCCTTCTTTAGGGTATATAAATAAATAATTAACAATAAACAGAATAATTAAGTCAATCTCACATGACGTCAATAGCTGCGACATCAAAACATAACAAAGAGTTTGGCGTAATAATCCAACACAGGATCAATTTGATGCAATGTACTAGTGAAGAAAGCATCAAAACACTTTCATATAAAATTTTTATTATTTTATCTTTGAATTTCTTCCTTTTTTCTCATAAAACAACATACCTTGTTTCTTTCGTATTCTTTACTATAGGCGTCAAAAATCTGAGCATTGTATATGGCTATTCCACAATAAGACAGGTAGGCCGACAGGAGCTGGAAGGAAATCAAAAATATGTAGCACAATAACATTTTTTTCATCATTTTGATTTAATACAATATCATATTCTTTGATGGATTAAGACAAAATCATATTTGTGTATACGTTTTATTTTATATAGTTACTCATTTATCACAATGTACTGGATGTATTCAATAAATTGAGGCACAAGTTATTGAACTAAATAAATAGAATTTTATATTTATAATCATATGAAATTCTTTGTAAATTCGTGTTGACTACATGATTCCACGTGACGGTAAGTGTTTAAAGGTACCATTTATTCATTCCAGACTCCTAGAACGAAACTTTTAAGATCTTGTATGTTGTAATTAAGGTTGTTACCACATTTAAGTAAATGTATACAATAATGTTTCTAAAACAATTGTCAAACATCCAAAAATATGTAAAATGTGTACTGCAAATATTTGTCCACATCATATGTAATCATTAAAATATATGCATTCCTTTCTTATTTAAAGATTTGACTTAGACTTAATAGAAAATAAATTTCTAAATACCTCCCTTTTATTAACATGAAATGTAAATTCGGTAATATCTATACAAATAATACTTTTTGAAACTTGCGTTCATTGAACGCCGCCTTTCCTTGTTGATCTTGTTTATCATATTTTACAATATTGATAAATCTTCATTTCAGCATTACAAATATTTCTGAATATTACAATAAATATTTCTGATATAAAACCATAAAAAATGAAATACAGGATCTTGAAAACAAGTATGCTTGATTTCTTTCTTTTCTTTTTTCTTTTTTTATCTTTTTGTTTTCAAATTCTGTCACATTTTTTTGTCAAATTGTCAAAGTTATTGATTGCAATTAAAATATAGTTGTAAATGACCATGTACTAAAACCAATGAACTAAAAAAGACGTAACCAATTTAAGTAAAAAGAATCAACAACAGCAACAAAAAACAACAACAGAAACTGGAAATATCTAGTCAATGGATCTATTTGAAATAAATTGCTCACAATTATTGTTATTTCCATAACTTTAGAGGAAATTAAGAAAAAAATGGTCCGAGGTTAAGAAGCAATTAGATGCTCATCCAGCCTGTAGATATGTTTTGTAGTGACATCTAAATTAACTTTATTACTATTGATTATTTCTACGCATAAGGTCTTATATTAAAGATGAATGTAATCTAGAAAGCTTTAAAAGGCTATTATTGATTGAAATGTTAAAAGCTGACGTCATTTCTTCTTCAAACATGTCTCTGCTGCAGGCAACATTTAAACAGTCGTTCTATATGTGTGGAACATTATTACGATACACACTTTGAATTAGAGAATTTAGATCATTGAGAAAAAGAAAGGATACTTTTAAGCTTCATTCAAATTTATAATAAAAAAATAACCAGTCCAACAGAAGTGTCATTTAAAAAAAGCTTATAAACTTTTAAGCATCATACCCCTCTTAGTGTGATAGTAAGGAATCTTAACTCGAGGCAAGTTATACTCGTATCTACTGAGTCAAGATCTTGTCAAGGTTGAACATTCTGTTCTGTCATCCACAGTGAGTTCTTGCATTTATACCGTAATACCAAATAAAAAAGGGCAGTTAAAACCACAAGAAAATTTTATTCGCATGAGACCTGTTTGATACATTTGAACATGTTGTGTCGCAATTGTATAGTTATTTCAATTTCAACAAAGTTTATTTAGGAAATTAAACTGATCAGAAACAAACAGGCACCACATTCATATTTCAGAGACATCGCATCATCATTTTTATTTTCTTCCGTTTTGGAATATTAACCTGTCACAGGTCAATTTATAAGTCCAAGAAGCAGTAAAAGTTGCACTAAAACCTACCAAGGTAAAAAAAATCAAACTTAAGACTGGAATAACAAAATTCTTTATGCTAGTGCATCGTGTTTTGAATCATTATAAGACCATTGGAACGGAAATTAGTTTCAAGGAACAATTGCTATTTGTAACAAATATAAAATGCTTACGTGCTTGTGAAACTTATTATCGTTTTACCATAGCATTACATCAAGTTTTTTGTAACAAATGCATTTAGAAGAAATATGCATCTTTGGAGACAGACAAAGGATTTTGCAAATAGAGATTGCAAATAGATAATTGTATATGAATAAAAAGCTAATATTAGAGGATTGCTCGCATATCCAATCCATACAACAATGAGTCTGTAAGTCAATCATAAAAATGAAAACAAAATATATAAACTCTGTCTCTTTACATTCTGAAGTATTTCCTATTTAGGTTAATAAAATCAATGTTTCAAAATACTTTATAGCACGTGTTGAACACCATTCCACTTATGTAAAATGTAATCATATCAATAAGGGTTAAAATTGCAGCATCTTTTTGTGTTATTTTAAGGTGAATTTTAAAGAAATGTTCTCTCGTAACTACTATTTATATAAACTTTATATTGAAATGAATGTTGAACTCCCATTGTAATAGCTAATACATAGGCATAAAACTGACTTTTAAGAAACGTGTTCGCAAGAACTTCCAAAATTTTTTAATTCCGACTTAATAGAAAAAAATTAGTGTTTGACGTCATTTGAAAAAAAGATGCTTTTCAGACAGAGAAACGACACATAACAGGTGCACATCAATGTTGTTATATCTGTGTTAAAGAAAGATGCTTGCTCAATTAGCTTGCAAGTGACTCTTTTAAATGTAATCAGTTACAATGGTTTTATGTTTGAAAAAATCTACATGCTCTGGATAATTGTTTCACACTTACTCAATATTTTAAAATAGTAAATACCACTAAATAGTTTTACATTTTTTATTACATATAACTTTATAAATGCTCATTACTTCTACCAACACATATTACGCCATTATCGATTCAATTTGACTTAATGCTGCATACCTCCATCTAAACCAAAATATGTCAAGAAAATCAAAAATGAGAAAAGAGTAACTAGCTTTTAAGAAAGTAAAGACATTCAAGAATTTAATTCCATGTATTGTGCGATTCATGACCGGCTTTGTAGAATTTTGACCATAGGCCTACTGTGTTACTAACGCAGTAAGGGTTTTTTAGCTTATTTTGACATATTTTGGTAAATTTTATCGGTTGGAAGAGCTGGTTGCAATCTGAAAATTATTTTCTTTGTTCCCTTCTTAATATTTCACTTAAAAATACATTTTCAAAATGTTTGTAGAAATTAGAATGAATCTGGAGGCCAGCCGCTTTAATTGTTGTTAAGTACATTTAAACTCTTCAAACTTTGGCTACACACCATGCTAAAATATAAAACAAACACTTAGGTAATAACTATATGTTTATCAACTGTTTATCTATAATTTATTGGTAAATCATTAGAGCTTATTAATAACTGTCTAAAGCTTGTGACATATAATCTGGGACAAGAGCCTTTAATTTCCCAGGAGTATTTGTCATAAAGTAGAATTAATGCCTAAAACAATTATAATGCTTAGCTTTTATATCAATTTGCTAACTATATTATAAGATGATTAGTAAGTTCTTCATTGTTATTTTATTCTTATCTTCTTAATTGTGTTTGATTTATTGAATACAAAGTAGAACGACACTTTATTGCCATTGTTGTGACATTTAAGCATTCCCGTTTGACGAATACCTTATATTACTCGCCCCCTCCCTCCTTGTATTATTTCAGTGCTGAGCGTTACCTCAGTAGAACCACCGGCGTTGGAGGGCTTCCTTTCGTTGTAAATTTTAAAAAAGTCCCTTTCATGATTTGAACCCGAAGCGGTGAAGTACATTTGATTCGAAGTCAATTACTCTAACAACAGATGCCATATAAAACAAATATTAATACATGGATATATTTTTTAATTCAAATATAGTAAGGTCGTTGATTTTGTTAAGGGAAATTTATATGTGACAATTACAGCTACACTATTCAACATTAATCGCCTATAAACTTACAAGTTCCCAATTGAAGTTTTCATCCCCGCAAACTTAAACATGCTCATAAAATTATTTTAAAAGTATGACTCGTTGTTAAATGACATTGATTCTAGAATTAAATAAGGAAATGATATACAGGTATATTCTGTATAACATACATGTCATAATGGGTACAGGGAGCAGGACATTTCCGCATCTGAATATTCCTTAACTAATGACGAACAGTGTAGTGTTGTAAATGTTGGTTTGACTCATATTTAGAATATGAATATATCGTGATATTAATTACTATGAATACAAATTATACTGAAAACAGTTAGTATAAGTCTATGATGTGGCAATGTATAAGGTTAACAGAATAAAAGTACAATTTATCAAATATGGTTTTCTCTCTTCAATAAATGAAATTTTCAATTATATATTGACAATACTACCCAAGGGGTAGTTTGGAATTCATTTTAACAGAGATGATAAATTAGCATTGATAACATCCTGCCAGATCAAGGTAATTAAAGGTTTGATAACAAATTACAACGCAGTCAGAAGCCGCTCTTATTTTTCTTGTATGATAGCGCATCTGTTTATACTAATGTCATTTGTATGTTTCGTCGGGATGATAACACGTCAAATATTTGAGCAGCTGCATTTGAATATGAAGATCATAACCTTATAAACTTGAACGCATCTCTTATAATGACGGCACAAGTTTTGTATTACAATATAGAATGGTCACCAAGAAGCAATGTGCCTTTTATAAATTAATATAATGATTTTATCTGCTATTACACGTTTGGAAAAATAAGTCTGGAAAAATACAACTGCGTGAGAAAAAAAATGTTTGTTAAAAAGAAATTTTGAATTTTTAAAAATTTGATCATTTTTGTTCTCAAATTTATTTATAACTATGTACATATTAATATAAAAATAGATCTCTTTGAAAGAAACCATCTTGATTATAAAACCTCGCAATTTTTCTTGTTAATTCTAATTAACTTTAAGCAATTTAAAATGAATTGCTGACTTAAATTGTCAACTTTATTGTAGTTCATTTTCCACATTAAAAGAAGAACATCCATTCATTAAAAAAAAATATGTTGAATGAAATATTCATGAATTCTAAAACCTAGCTCAACACCGCTTTCCCGTACATTCTGTACATTCCAGAAGTTAGCTTTGTGAAATTCACCTTAAAGGCGTGTAATAGCGATAAGTATATTTTTTCGGGATGAATTTTTTAAATTAAAATTATATAAAACAGTTATTTACGTGTTCAAAAAGGTTTGAATATCATTTAATTGACAACAATAATTCCATGCAAAGAATACAATTAGATAAGTTTACGCAGAACATATATCTAATTCTTATTGCAGTTGCCACTACGAAAGTTTTGAATTTATAGTTTCATTAAAAATATTTCTTTTTGTACAATTCTAAATAGATACATGTAGTAAAAAAGCCTTGATAATTTGCTAAGGTTCCATTTTGCTTGTAAGTCACGTTTTATACATTCATTAGAGCATCTGATATAAAACTCGTTGTAAAGCGATATTATAACGAAGAATTATTATAGCCTCTGCCAGGTCATATTTCAAGTAGGCAAAAATCCATAAAAGGCTAATTAACACCAGTTTTGTGACGTAATGTAAAATCTGAGTTTTTTTAAATGATAGAGTAACTATATTTCCAAGAAATATAAATGGTTTTCGTGAAAAAAACTCATTTACTACGGAAACATTTTAACAAAAATCTCAAGAAAATGGAAAAAGTTAGTATTAGAAACAAAATATCTATTGTCTAAATTGGACAGTAATTTCAAAGTTTAACGGAAAAGATTATAATTATTTGCAACCTAGATAAGAGAAACATCCTTCATCTTCAAATTGTAAGACAGATCAATAAAGGTTAAGTGTAAAAGCAAAGATCTAAAAAGAGAGAATTGAATAGTCAAGTGTAACAGTTTTTCCACCTTAAACGGTTAAATAATGATCCAGAAATAGGAACATCACGTAGTAACAATGTGCACTACATTAGGTGTTACATCATTGTTAACTACAAGACTCGCCAACATAGGTTGAAGCAATATATCATTGGCATCTATTGTTTGTGATTTATAGATCCATTCAATAAATAAGTGTACATGTTTTGAATACATTACTGATTACTTAACCTTAGTTTTAGCACTTAACCTTGTCATAAGTGTACGTGTTTCAGTCACTACTCAATGATATAATTGAATAATGGTGCATCTTAAATTATACTTTACAATTACTTTCTTTGACCAAAAAATGACACACTGTCATTTCTCTCAATTAATGTAAAAGAAATGGATAGCGTATTTGTATGACAGAATGATCTGAACATACATTTCCATTCTTCCATTTAGTCAACTAATAACATTAACTTCAATATTTAAGATATTGTTTTTTTGTTGTATGTTTGATATCCAAAAAATATTCAACCACGAAAAACTCTAAAAAAAGGACAGGAACTGAAAATCATTGCAAACAAGTATGACGTAATTGTCATTTTTATCTATCCATGTAATAAGAATGATCTACCTTTTCGTCTTCTTTTGTAAATCCTTCTCCATTAGATTTGTTGATAACTTGAGCAACCGCGACAATTTCGTCATCTGAGTTTTTTACAGGCATACATAATAAAGAATCTGTAGTATAACCAGTAATTCTGTCTACTTCGTCGTTATATCTTGGATCCTAGAAAGAATAAAGATCAAAGATAATATAAACAATTCTAAGAATGTTGATTTTTTATCTTTCAAGGGACTCCATTGATTTATTTTGTTTGACATGACGGGTGGAAATATTTGTCGAGATTTGTGTAATTTTCGATGCGGGTCTAAACAGATGACATGTGTGCAAATTTTTAGATCATTCTCGCATCGTCTTTATCAAGGATAATCATTTTATACTGTAAAAATAACCCAAGTCGGACTTAAGAGTGCACAAAAAAGAATTGAAAAGAGTTTGATTCTGAGTATATTTATCTCTTTTCTTTTGACATCAGCGGAGCTCCTGTAAGGTAATACTATGAATATGATTGTTTCAAGTAGGAGTCGTATTCAATTGTTTTGGTGCTAAATAATAACTAACAGTCTGTGTGTGCGTTCTTGAATTACATATATGCAGTACAAAAATTGTTCATGACATCGAAACTTACGTCGAAATACACTACAATATTTAGTAAATGTATACTTCAATATTTAGTAACAAAAATACTATACTAATAAATATGACGGCAATAAGTCAACAAGAAAGACATTGACATGCTATAGAAATAGAAACCAACTAATCAAATGAAACATATCTTCAAGGAAATGTAGAAATGTAGCCCACTTATGAATAAAATCTGACAGCAATATGTTGTTTATTTATTTGCATAACAAAAGTTCTTGTATCAATACATTTATTGCTTTTGAAATGCCTTAAGAAATGGAAAGATTTATTGTATTAAAGAAATTCGAAGATGAATTTCTTTTCATATGTCTCTCGGTGCAAGCTCTTACCATGAAAAGAATGAGTATCTTATGCCAGTCTGAATTTAACTTCCATAACTACGCCGTTCAATATTTCAAGATTTTACAGATTTATGCAAATATCAAACTGCTTCACTGGGATATTATACAGTTAATGGTTAACTTGATTTTTACAATGATATAGTTTAAGAGCAGCTGGCGAAGCAATAATTAGATAAGGCGGGACTCACGTTTATCACTGCTTAAATTGGTTATGTCCTATTTACCCTTGCCACGATATTATATAATACAGGTCTGTTGCAAAGTAGTGTGTATATTTGTTTTTTAGTCATAGGTTGCAATAAAGCTGTATATGTAAGGCTTTTCACAAGCTATATGACCTACCATTTACGATGTATCACTATATCACAGTTTCTAACCTTACTAGTTATATAGTCTCATAACCGTACATACTGCAGTATATAACTTTTCAAATCTATAACTTACCATATAATGTATATCAAAGTTATAGGTGGCGGTTTTTTCATTTATGAAAATTATCAAACCAAAAATGCTCTGGAAGTGACTGTAAATTTCGTGATTAATAATAGCTGAACAAAGTTTCTATTTTGCTTGTTAATAACGTTTTATAAATTTATTAGAGCATCTGCTATAATACTCGTAATAAAGCGATATTATAACGGAGAATTGTTATAGCTTCTGCTAGCTCGTAATAGGCAAAAATCCATAAAAGGCTAATTAACGCCAGTTATGTGACATAATGTAAAATTTGAGATTTTTTCAGTGACAGATTAACAACACTTTCAAACAATTTAAATGTTTTTTCGTGGAATTTACTACAGAAATCTCAAGAGAATGGAAAATGAAAACGGAAAAGATTATAATTTGTTACCTAGATAAATCATTAGAGAAAATCCTTTATACTCATACAAATTCAAAGAAAGATAAAAAAGTTTGTTGTGAAACCAAATATATAAAAATAGATAATGCAATAGGTAATTGAAACCAAATATTTACAATGAAACATCAGTTTGATCATTATAAAATGCAGTATATATCACGCCCCTGGAATTGCCTTAACTAGGTCTTAAAGTTAAACCATTACAAAGTTCAATAAATCACTAGACTACCAATTAATAACAATTGTTTTAAAAATACTAAACACAATATGGTTTTCTTCGGTTTTGGTTTACGTCACACCAGCTCAACATATAACAATTTTTCATTTAAACTGGTGATGGGAGGCATCAGATCTGTTTAAACTTATCAAGTAATAATTATAATAATAATAATAATAAAACATTTCGTTTGGCATGCATCTAGCCTCGTTTGCTTTTTTAATGTCCAAAACATGTCATTTTAAATCGTTATTATACTTACAGTACATAAAGCGTCTAGTCCAATTTAGGTTTGACCGTTGTGTACTCGTTCAAAAGAATTAAGTATTATATTAAATGTCTAAACATCCGATACGTAATATCACAGTTTTTCAATTTGACGTTTAATAATGTAGATTTAATGCAACATTCTTGCAGCTGTGACCCTTTAAAATTTTACAAGTCCAAAGAATTATTTAACGTCATTATACATTTTGTAACATAAAAACTCTTTAAGCTTAGATGAGGGTAATTACCACACGAATTGTTTTACAAGTTCATTAGATGTATTCAATAAATTGGCACTGGTAATTTAACGTTTCAAGCAATTTCATGTAAAGTTCTAATGATCTATTGAAAAAGAAAACCAAAATCGCCAAGAAGACAATTAGAACATTTTCTATTAAATAACATATTAATAGTTCACGGTTGTAAATCATCACATCTCTTTACGATAGATAAATTGAATGTAAATGTGGTAAATACAGTCAAAACATTTTGACATCAAGGTTTGTTTTCTTGCTTGCGAATTTGTTTCTTTTTACAATACAATGCATATAGGTTCAAGAACAAAAGGTTGCATCTAAGTACATGTATATACGTATAAATTTGAATTAAATTACATCTCTTTTAAAATATAATATCAATATTCAACGTTGACGCAGGTAAACGTTGTAAAAACGTTAGAAATAAAAAAAGAAATTCTGAATTACCTTCAGTTCATAATTATAATTTTTAATGACTTTTATGTTTAGCCTTTGGAATAAATTTCGTTCATCACTGCGTATGATACTTTTGTAGAAGAAACTGTATAATATATAATATAATCTGATTTAACTTAAAGTTAAACACATTCATTTGAAGCAGACATTTTATCACAGGAAGTCGATAAACTGTAAAAGAAATACTGAAGCAAAAGGTTTGAAAAAGCAAATAGCTACCTTTATAGAATAGCATTGATTTGTTTTGTCATTAAACGTATATATTGTAGCAGCTGTCCGTTGTGGCATTTACATTTTTATTCATATGTAAATGTAATTAATAACGACGGTTTAGGCAAAACACACACAGATTAAATGCTAAGAGCAATATAGCATGTATTCCTCAATGTAATTTACAGCAACTCACGTTATGATACTTTAGATATTACGTTTGCTTGCTAGCCAATGATATTTTCTGTTTTAACTAAATAAACAGGTATATTAATGTTTTGCATTTGGCAAACTGAAGTGCATTGTTTTGTTTATATTCCCATAACAGTATAATTTGAAATATTGCTTTGTATGCAAATGATACCTCAAGTCGTCTCTGAGGAGGGTCTGTTAAAGTGTGGGTGTGTTTATGCGTACGCACTGGAGGTGCGCCTATTGTCATTAATTGTTTATCTTGGGATGTGTTGTTTTGCTCATATTCGAACATATTAAGTTATACAAATAGAATTTGGCTGATGTGTTATTTTGAAGTAGCTACGTTTTGTTGTTAATTCGTCTTAAAAAATTTAAATTACACCTATGTAGAGACTTTATATATCACCGAATTTGTCTTAAGAAATTTGGTTTTAAACGCCATATCTAAATATTATGACATTTTGTTTTGTATTTTGTACATGGCTATGACCTTTACTTCATGTAGTCTAAATATTGTTATTTTAGTATGTTGTTTTAAAAGAAGGACTCTCTTTAAAAATATAACATCACTATTTTCATGATTTTTTTTCTAAGCCTGATTCTAAAACAGGAAAAAAACATGATAATTTAAAATAAAACTGACCTTTATCTTGAATGCACATTATCTAGTGTCTTAGAATTAAAGCAAACAATATATAACAATAACTTAAATATATGACTGTGTGATATACTTAGCAAATACTTTTTGTACCAAAATCAAATTAAAATGATGTATATTTGTTTATTTATTTCATACTTTTAAACGTACTCATCGAATATAACATTTAATAATCCAATGTTTAAATGATATCCTATTTTGATAATAAATTTTTTAAAAGTTTGTATAAGGATGTAATGACAAACTTAGTTTTTGCATTGGCAATTTGTATTGATTATTGAATAGCACTGAATATCCAGATATTTGCAAGACTTTCTGATTAAACTTTAATGATGTCATACAATTACTTTACTTTGATCCTCTAAGATCATTTGAAGATTCCGACATTAAAGATAGTTAATGAAAAAAAGTGCAGCACTGCGTCAAATTATTGATTTTGTCAACATAATGAACGCAACATATTCGTTGTCTAAACCGACATAAAAACATATCAATATAGCTGTAATCTATATTTATTGTTTATTATGGTCTGATACCAACATTTATATCAAATGCAGTTTTACTTCTTAACATTATAATTATAATTATAATTATGCATGTTTGTAAAGTCAATTTTCAAAGGATAGTCTTGTCGTGTTTGAACGACTGCTGTAAATTCTTTAAACTGTAAATTTTTTAAAGATGTTTTATCTTTTATTCAATAAGGACGATGGACTTTAGAAACGTTTATAAACTTCTTGCGTTTCTTAAACTCAACCCAATGAAAATCATTTTAATCCATATTCACTGGTATTATTTCAATTGAATATGTTCTATGGAACATATTACGTGTTGCTAAGGTAACAATACAGTTGTAATTGGGTCAGTTCACAATTTGTACTAGGAAACTTATCGAATACTCGTGATAATTTTAATAACGAAGTGTGCGTTATGTACTAGTATATACGTTAAGACATATCATTTTTTGCATGACATCACGCAAGATATAAGATATTAAATATATTCCATCTGATTCCGACGTCATTTGTATTTTCAAATGTATGTGTATTAATGATTTTAA